ACATTTAATTAAAAACAAAACATTTAATTAAAAACTTGTTAACACACCAGAAAATTATTAAATGAAAGGGAGCAGAAAGAAGAAAAAAAATCTTATAGCGTCTGCTCCATTTCCTCCAACATGCTGCAAAGGAGTTCTGAAAAAGTTACATTATTGTTGCACAGACGTGCTGCAAAAGTCCAAACATGTCACAATAAGCTTGTGCGTGTTATGTTTAAGGTAGGGACAATTTACTTATGGGTTTTATATGTGTTTAAGTCCTTAGCAACACGATGTGATCATGTCCAAAAGAGGCTGCTAATTGAAAATGCCAGCATGGTGGCAAGACCAAAAACAACAGGAAACACAGGAGCACAACAGATTTGAACCAAACTATGGATGGACAAGGAAGTGGTGGAGAAGATGGTTAAATAGAGCAAGGTTGAGCAGAAACTGGAGTATGGACTGGTGTGAGGAGAGAGAACGTGATCAGGAGAAAACAGAGCTGAGAAAAAGATGAGAATGAAAACAAGACAAACACAAGAGGGAGACAGAAACAGGAGTGACAGACTTATAACAAATGGTAAATCTGATGTCATTTATACTAGTCAGAATGTAATTAGATATACTGTATCTCAAATTGGTATTTTACCTTGTCACAGTATAATTAAAGATATCTTTATTTTTTATTTATTCATTTTATTCATAGAAACAAAACAATTTATGTACAGCCTTAAAAGACAGTAAATCATGCCCTGAATGAAAAGGTGCAGAGTAAAGAAATTAACCTTATCATATCTGCCCCTTATTTAAAAAAAAAAAGCAAACCAACAAGCTGAAGCTGGAAAGATAAAAAAAAATCATCTTATTTTTTAAATCTTAACTAATTAATATGTCTAATCAAAATGCAATTCAGATAAAAAATGTAATAACCACCTGCCATACAGTGAGCTTCCTGTTGCTGAAATGATCAGCTGCTGCGCTCTCAGAGCAAATGCCAACGTTTAAATTATCAAGAGGGATTTATGAATGAATGAACATCCACAATAACAATAAAAAATATATACAAGTTTTTTTGTCCAACTATTTGACTGTTAAAAAAACTACAGTCATGGCCAGAAGTTTTGAGAATGACACAAATATTATATTTTCACATGATCTACTGCCCTCTGGTTTTCATGTATGTATGTCAGATGTTGTCATTARATACAGAAATACAATTGCAATCACATTATGAGTAACAAAAGCTTTTATTGACAGTTAGAATGACTTAATGCAACAAGTCAATATTTGCTGTGTTGACCCCTCTTCTTCAGGACCTCTGCAATTCTCCCTGGCATAGTCTCAATCAACT